CTTTACCCAGTCAAGTGGTTAAGACGTCATGCAACGCTCTGTATCTTTAACTACCCTGTTGTAGATATAATGCCATTCAGCAATGGGAACTTGTACATTGTGCTTGCAAGATGTTCTAGCTACGTCATAGTGTGACAGGAAGTTGTTCGTTGCTCATTAGCTGTGCTGGGTTCAAGTTCTTTCGATTAAACATTATGGTAAGTCCTAGCAAGAAGATGCTTGTGAGTGATGAGGTGTTTTACGAGCTGTTACAAGGTAATGAATATAGTAATATTTCACAGGGTGAATATAATAGTGACAGTGAAATAAATGTGAAAATTTTGTCAGGTGGTGAACAGAGTGTCAGCTCTGATGAGCAGAAAATGTCAGCAACAGCAGTAGCCTGCAAACTGACGTATGGGCAAATTCATGTGCTGAGCAACCACTTTTTCCATTTACTGGCAAGCCTGGCATAAATTTGATTTAGAACACCCCAGTAACCCCCTGGAATATATTGAGTTGTTTTATACACCAGGTGTTGTGGAAGTAATAGCCAGAGAAACAAATCAGTACACCAGAAAAAGTTTAGGAAACCAAACAATCTGAAACTAAAATCTAGGACCCATCGCTGGGCTGGTATTGGAGAGTACATAATTATAAATTATTCGCAGTATCTGTCACTTGAGTTGCAGGAATGTGTCTGGTGTATAATGGTTTTAGTGATTTCATAGTCTGTAGCACAACAATTTTGTAGCTGATGTTTGGAAGAACAGTTCAGTTCATCCATACTAGCCATGAGCTTGCCCACACAACAGTACAAACCTCCATTTACCAATGAGGCATTCAGTGTCCCAGTAAGACAAGTTGGGATTGTTTTCGCTATACAGTTGTGTCAGTGAACTACTCTGATCGTGTTTCAACTCTTAAACTCCAGATGCAGTCAGAGAACTGAATGTGCACGAGTCAGACATGCCTTTGTTGTTACTTATTGGGAACTTAAGTGCATGTCATTGCCGATATTGATGGATTTTTTTAGAACAAAAGAAAAGGTGTGGAATTTACTTAAAAAAATATGTATATAAACATTAATATAACGGCTACAGAAATGGAAAAAATGGAGATATGAAGTCTGCTAATTGATGTTTCAGATACTTTTTGTTCCATAATTTTGTAACAACATGTGATTTGAGATATTGCATTTTAAAAATGGAGCAAAAATTATAAAATTAAACACCACAATGACAAATTTAAATGTTGGGGTGGATTTAATGTGCCGCTATGGGAGAGATAAGATGGAGAAGAACCACTTGACTGGTTAATGGGCCTTGTGAAAGTACGAGCTGAGTCCTCGAGAAGATGCCAGTCACCCACCCATTCAAAAATTTCCCAACATTTTATGAAACCCGAAGGATTACTACATTGATCACAAGAGCTCTCCACCAGTTCCTATCCTGAGCCAGATCAATCCATTCTATTCTATTTCTCTAAAATAAAAGTTATTTTTCATCCACCTACATCTTGGTCTTCCTAGCAGTCTCTTTACCACAAAACTCTTATGTGCATTCATTTTCTCACTATGCTTGCTACATGCCCTGCCAATCACCAGCAAACGTCTGCAATTGGTTGTACACGTTGAATAACTAAAGTAATATTGGGCGCGTGCGCGGAAAGTAGTGATGCCGATAACATGAACGAAGGACTTAAGACCATGAGGAGCACTGGGTGCCTGATGACAGAGAACCAACCTGGAATGTCCAAATATAATATCATGTGTACTTTGTTATGAGATAAATTGCGATCTTAATACACAGCGTCTAATAATTAAGAATCCTATATTTTGCGATGTGATGTATAGCCTGGTAGAATGTTACTGATATTTCAAAGGAACGTAACACTTCCACCACGTTCCAGGTCAAAAAGTAAACCGAGCACAATAACTCCGCTTGACCCGAATGTCATGTACATAAGTTATAATGTGTTTTATTGTTTTTGTATTGATGGTAGGATGTAGGGGTAGCTGCATCTTGCCCAGCAAGGGCCATATGGGCCCTGTTTGTGTTAGAATTTTCTGCCTTGTTTTCAATTTATGTATGCAATTTTGGCAAACATTTTTGATAACTGATCTTACAAATATATTGTATGCCAGATACATAATAAAAGACTTGCAGCTGTTCTCCATCTTCAAAATTCTACTCTTTAATGCTCTAGATTGTGAGGTCGTAGCATTTGTGGTGGATGTGGGAGTGGGTACCAGGATGGCTAGAGTAGTTGCAACTACTCTTAACATTTTCATTTGAAAAACAACTACATCCACAGCTGGCGAATAGTGACTAGATGTGAGAAATAGAGGACTCTTAAAAGTTGTATTCCAGACCACACTGCTACTGATTCTCGAAGCACAAAGCATAGCTTTGAGAAAGGAACACAGTCTTCGTTCATGCTTCCTAGAAGAATCTGTAACAATGGTATGGAATTTCATCTTGTGTCCTGTATTTTGGATATGCGTTCTGCAAATTGCAGGTATGTCATGTCCCCCCTCTCCACATCCTGTGCCTTAACGTGGCGAGGGGGTGAACAAAGAATTTTCATGCATTTCATGTTATCTGAAAAAGTATATAGTGCCAATAATATGGTTGAATTCATGAGAGTGTGGAAGGATATGAAAATAATTTAATGGATTCACTATCAATCTGTCAGTTGACTAGCTGAAGTATACCACATGCCAGTGCTGATAACATTTGGCAGTAGTCTCTTTCCCCTCTGCATACATGTTATATTTTCGTACAGATGTCACTCAATGACAAACCATAAATATTGCTTGCTGAATCTTGTACTAATGAAAACATACAGTGATCACAGACTTTTCCTTTGTTCTCTTTCATTTTAATTTTTAAGACAAGCTCAAAAACTGCTCAAGTAAAATCCCAGTGAAGGGCTATGATATTAAATTTTTTTAAAGATGTGGTGTAAACTCTACTGATATTTAAATTGGGAATGAGCTCCTGCAGTTTTTATAAAACATTTCTAGATGTCACTGTGGATCTTGTTTCCCCAAGTGCAATCTTGTGGTCCCTGATTCTGCTTTTGCTACTTTGGCAAGGTAAAGAAAATAGGCTAACAGGAAACTTTAGTAATCCATTGCAGTTTTCAAAGCTAATACAAGTGGAGAGGCTGGAAAGAATGGAAAGATATCTGAGAAATTAAAATTTCAATTTTAATTTCCTGTAAATGACACTGTGTCCTAGAAAAATGTTTCCATATTGTGAATGTTTGCACTTCAGTTTGGTATTGATGTTGTATGGTAAATGATTGCAAAAATTTTGAAAATCTCCAATAACAGTAGCTTGGCAACATTATCAATGCTACTATTTCTGTTTCCTGTTTGTCGTTTTCTGCTACATATGGGCTATTATAAACAGAATGAAAGCACAAGAAAGTTAGTGCTATTTGAGA